CCACTGAGCCATAAGAAGAACCACTGAGCCATAAGAACCACTGAGCCATAAGAAGAACCACTGAGCCATAAGAAGAACCACTGAGCCATAAGAAGAACCACTGAGCCATAAGAACCACTTTGCCATAAGAAGAACCACTGAGCCATAAGAAGAACCACTGAGCCATGAACATAAAAGAAGAACCACTGAGCCATAAGAAGAACCACTGGAGCCATAAGAACCACTTTGCCATAAAAAGAACCTGGGCCATAAACAGAACTCGAGCCATAAGAACCACTGAGCCAAAGAAGAACCACTGAGCCATAAGAAGAACCACTGAGCCATAAGAAAACCCTGAGCCATAAGAAGAACCACTGAGACATAAGAAGAACCCCTGAGCCATAAGAAGAACCACTGAGCCATAAGAACCCTGAGCCATAAGAAGAACCACTGAGACATAAGAAGAACCTTGAGCCATAAGAAAACCACTGAGCCACATAAGAACCTGAGCCAAGAAGAACCACTGAGACAAGAAACTGAGCCATAAGAAGAAACCACTGAGCCATAAGAACCCTGAGCCATAAGAAGAACCACTGAGAAAAAGAAGAACCCTGAGCCATAAGAAGAACCACTGAGACATAAGAAGAACCCTGAGCCATAAGAAGAACCACTGAGCCATAAGAAGAACCACTGAGCCATAAGAAGAACCACTGAGCCATAAGAAGAACCACTGAGCCATAAGAACCACTTTGCCATAAAAAAGAACCCTGAGCCATAAGAAGAACCACTGAGACATAAGAAGAACCCTGAGCCATAAGAAGAACCACTGAGCCATAAGAAGAACCACTGAGACATAAGAAGAACCACTCAGCCATAAGAAGAACCATTGAGACATAAGAACCACTGAGCCATAAAAAGAACCACTGAGCCATAAGAACCCTGAGCCATAAGAAGAAGAACCACTGAGACATAAGAAGAACCACTGAGACATAAGAGAACCACTGAGACATAAGAAGAACCACTGAGACATAAGAACCACTGAGCCATGAGAAGAAACCAAGAGACATAAGAACCACTGAGACATAAGAAGAATCATTGAGACATGAGAACCACTGAGCCATAAGAAGAACCACTGAGCCATAAGAAGAACCATCTGAGACATAAAAAGAAACTACCGAGCCATAATGAAGAACCATTGAGGCATAAGAACCACTGAGCCATACGAAGAACCATTGAGGCATAAGAACCACTGAGCCACAATAAAAAACAAAGACAACAAAAAGAACCACTGAGCCAAAAGAAGAACCAGAGCCATTAAAATCACCGAATCACAAGAAAAACACGGAGCCATAAAAAGAACCACTCAAGCCGTAAGAAGAACCACTGAGCCATAAGAACCAGTGAGCCATAAGAAGAACCACTGAGACATAAAAAGAACCACTGAGCCATACGAAGAACCATTGAGGCATAAGAACCACTGAGCCATAAAAGAACCACCGAGCGTAAGAAGAACCACTGAGCTATAAGAAGAACCAGTGAGCCATAAGAACCACTGAGACATAAAAGACCACTGAGACATGAGAAGAACTACTCAGCCATAAGAAGAACTATTGAGACATAAGAACCACTGAGCCATAAAAGAACCACTGAGCCATAAGAAGAACCCTGAGCCATAAGAAGAACCACTGAGACATAAGAAGAACCACTGAGACATAAGAAGAACCACTGAGACATAAGAAGAACCACTGAGACATAAGAACCACTGAGCCATGAGAAGAACCAATGAGACATAAGAACCACTGAGACATAAGAAGAATTTGAGACATGAGAACCACTGAGCCATAAAAAGAAACCACTGAGCTATAAGAACCAGTGAGCCATAAGAAGAACCACTGAGCCATAAGAAGAACCACTGAGACATAAAAAGAACCACCGAGCCATACGAAGAACCATTGAGGCATAAGAACCACTGAGCTAATAAGAAACAATGAGACATAAAAGGAACCACTGAGCCAAAAGAAGAACCAGAGCTATTAGAACCACTGAATCACAAGAAGAAACACGGAGCCATAAAAAGAAATAACTGGGCCATAAACAGAACCACTGAGATATAAGAACCACTGAGCCATAAGAAGAACCACTGAGCCATAAGAACCAGAGCCATTAGAAACCACTGAATCACAAGAAGAAACACGGAGCATAAAAAGAACCACCAAGCCGTAAGAAGAACCAGTGAGCCATAAGAAGAACCAGTGAGCCATAAGAAGAACCACTGAGACATAAAAAGAACCACTGAGCCACTACGAAGAACCACTGAGCCATACGAAGAACCACTGAGCCACATGAAGAACCATTGAGGAATAAGAACCACTTAGCCATAAAAGAACCACCGAGCCGTAAGAAGAACCACTGAGCATAAGAAGAAAGTAGAGCCATAAGAAGAACCACTGAGACATAAAAAGAACCACTGAGCCATACGAAGAACCATTGAGGCATAAGAACCACTGAGCCATATGAAGAACCATTGAGGCATAAGAACCACTGAGCCATAAGAAGAACCACTGAGCCACAAGAACCAGAGCCATTAGAACCACTGAATCACAAGAAGAAACACGGAGCCAAAAAGAACCAGTGAGCCATAAGAAGAACCAGTGAACCATAAAAGAACCACTGAGACATAAGAAGAGGCTCGTGTACACCTGTGGTCAAAGTGACGCTGAGTGTAAGGGCTGCCTTGCAAATCGAGAGTAAAAAACAGTTTGAGGAGGAGCCGTCAACGTGTTCATAGTCCCAGCGTGTCACCTCCCTCCCCAGCAATGTGATTAGATAGAGAGATACAAGGCCCTTCCTCACTCCCCAGAGAAGATAGCAGTTGAGTGAAAAATGAGCCCGGTGAAGACTATGGTGAGACAGGTAAGAGAGATTCGGGCTACATATAACTACATAAATCTCGTTAGTGAAGAGCAACTGCATGATGTAGAAGAGGGAAATAATTAGGTGAATTTGAACAGAGTGAGAGGCAATGTGAGGAGAGGGCCGATGAACCATTAGTTTTAATGATGGTTATATATATTACTAGAGAGAATATGACAGGAGGGTGTGGTAGCGGCTGGGTGATTTATCAACAAGAGACAGGCCAACAACACCATGTATAATCAAAATATATCAAAGGAGTGAGTAGTGAGGTTAGTGCTTAAAATATTCAATATGCTTGAGAGCCAAATTATTCAGGTTTAAGACACTCGCACGAAGAAGTAGAATATCATCAGGAAGACAAGTCGAGCTCATATGAAAGGCAAAAAGTTGCAAAAATCATCAAAGGTGAATTCAGGCCAAAGTTGAAGGGGTGTGGGGGGTGGGTGGCCCTGTCAATGAATTTACAAACACATGGATTTTTCTTTAGGAATTTCTTCTTCGCCATGAAAATAAATGCTAAAATTAAATGGATTTAGTAAGAAAAAATAAAATGCTATGAAATTGAGTTTATTCTCGTTACTAGCAGACATGTATTTCAGCACAAGTCAGGATGTGCAAGGGACTATAAAAACACCTCATTGTGGCTATAAGGAAATGTTAGCCGAGTACAGTCAGTTCGGTTAAGGTGTGTGTAAAGTGAAGGACCAAACCATGACGAAGGCAGCAGCTCAGGTCACGGTGTAGACTTTACGGGTGAGTGAGATTCTCTGTAACCATAAGCGAGCTTCCCTACGATAATTAGTTACTACGATAAGGATAGCATATGTAACCCCATATCACGTCCTATTGTTTGAATAAGTTAAGAAATGTAATTATCTCTTTGGAGTTCACCCACAACGACAGATGGACGAGTCAAGTGGAGAACATAGTATTAAAGAATTAAAAGAGAACTCAGCACAAGAGAACAAGAGAATATAAGTAAAAAATGAAAAGGAATGAATAAGATCGATTAACAGACTAACTCCCTTAACTATACGACCCTGAATAGAGGAAAACAACAAAGAGTGATTTAGAAATTCCTGTATGTAGATGACCTGGTACTCGTGAGAGAGAGAACATGGACTGAAAACCACCTGCAGAAGCCGAGGGTAATGCGAGTACTGGGAGGGGAGGGCAGAGGATGCAGACGAACACACTAGGGAGAATAACAATGTCCTTTTACACAAGCTGGTAGTTCTGTAAACCTGTGAGAGACAAAGAACAATGATAATGACAACAGGAGAAAAGGTGGAGAGAAGGACAAAACCAGAAGGGAGAAAAGCAGAGAATTATGAAAGACAAGAAGATAAAAGACACAAGAGAAAGGAAAAATTACTGGAGTCCTATGTGATCCAGGCAAGCAGGGGTAGTTCAGGGGCCACAGCACTAACACGGACAACAGAGAAGCTGCAGGTCGGGGACAACAAGAGGGCCAAGTCGTGACACAGGAGAGGCTGCAGGTCGGGACAACAAGAGAGGCTGCAGGCCGGGGACAACAAGAGGGGCAGCAGGTCGGGACAACAGGAGGCTGCAGGTCGTGGACAACAAGAGAGGCTCAAGTCGTGGACAACAGGAGAGGCTGCAGGTCGGGGACAACAAGAGAGGCTGCAGGTCGGGGACAACAAGAGGGGCTACAGGTCGGGGACAACAAGAGAGACTGCAGGTCGGGGACAACAAGAGAGACCTGCAGGTCGGACAACAGATGAGGATGCAGGTCGGGGACAACAAGAGAGGCTACAGGTCGGGGGACACAACAAGAAGAGGGGCTACAGGTCGGGGGACAACAAGAGAGACTGCAGGTCGGGACAAGAAAGACTGCAGGTCGTGGACAACAGGAAGCTGCAGGTCGTGGACAAGAGAGGCTGCAGGTTGGGGACAAGAGAGGCTGCAGGTCGGGGACAACAAGAGAGTAGGTAAGGGACAACAGGAGGCTGCAGGTCGTGACAACAAAGAGGCCAAGTCGTGACAACAGGAGAGGCTGCAGGTCGGACAACAAGAGAGGCTACAGGTCGTGACAAGAGAGGCTGCAGGTCAGACAACAAGAGAGGCTGCAGGTCGGGGGACAAATGAGAGGCTGCAGGTCGGGGACAACAAGAGAGGCTGAGAGTCAGGGACAAAAAGAGAGGCCAGGTGGGACAACAGGTGAGGATGGTGGGACAACAGATGAGGATGGATCGGGGACAACAAGAGAGGCTGCAGGTCGGGGACAACAGATGAGATGCAGGTCGGGACAACAAGAGGCTACATGTCCGGACAAACAAGAGAGGCTACAGGTCGTCGACAACAAGAGAGGCTGCAGGTCGTCGGACAACAAGAGAGGGCTCAGGTCGTCGACAACAAGAGGAGCTACAGGTCGTGGACAACAGAGGCTACAGGTCGTGGACAACAAGAGGGCTACAGGTCGTGGACAACAAGAGGGCTACAGGTCGTGGACAACAAGAGAGGCTACAGGTCGTGGACAACAAAGGAGGCTACAGGTCGTGGACAACAAAAAGAGCTACAGGTCGTGGACAACAAGAGAGGCTGGGTCGTGGACAACAGAGGCTACAGGTCGGTGGACAACAAGAGAGGCTACAGGTCGTGGACAACAAGAGGGCTACAGGTCGTGGACAACAAGAGCTGGGTCGTGGACAACAAGAGAGGCTGCAGGTCGTGGACAACAAGAGGCTACAGGTCGTGGACAACAAGAGACTACAGGTCGTGGACCAACAGAGACTACAGGTCGTGGACAACAAGAGGGCTACGGGTCGTGGACAACAAGAGGCTACAGGTCGTGGACAACAAGAGAGGCTACAGGTCGTGGACAACAAGAGAGGCTACAGGTCGTGGACAACAAGAGAGGCTACAGGTCGTGGACAACAGAGACTACAGTCGTGGACAACAAGAGGCTACAGGTCGTGGACAACAAGAGGCTACAGGTCGTGGACAACAAGAGAGGCTACAGGTCGTGGACAACAGAGAGGCTACAGGTCGTGGACAACAAGAGACTACAGGTCGTGGACAACAAGAGACTACAGGTCGTGGACAACAAAGAGACTACAGGTCGTGGACAACAAGAGGCTACAGGTCGTGGACAACAAAGAGGCTACAGGTCGTGGACAACAAGAGAGGCTACAGGTCGTCGACAACAAGAGGCTACAGGTCGTCGACAACAAGAGGGCTACAGGTCGTGGACAACAAGAGGCTACAGGTCGTGGACAACAAGAGAGGCTACAGGTCGTGGACAACAAGAGGCTACAGGTCGTGGACAACAAGAGACTGGGTCGTGGACAACAGAGAGACTACAGGTCGTGGACAACAAGAGGCTACAGGTCGTGGACAACAAGAGGGCTACAGGTCGTGGACAACAAGAGAGGCCACCAGGTCGTGGACAACAAGAGGGCTACAGGTCGTGGACAACAAGAGGGCTGAGTCGTGGACAACAAGAGGCTACAGGTCGTGGACAACAAGAGGCTACAGGTCGTGGACAACAAGAGACTACAGGTCGTGGACAACAAGAGGCTACAGGTCGTGGACAACAAGAGAGGCTACAGGTCGGGGACAACAAGAGAGGCTACAGGTCGTGGACAACAAGAGGCTACAGGTCGTGGACAACAAAGAGAGGCTACAGGTCGTGGACAACAAGAGGCTACAGGTCGTGGACAACAAGAGGCTACAGGTCGTGGACAACAAGAGAGACTACAGGTCGTGGACAACAAGAGAGACTACAGGTCGTGGACAACAAGAGCTACAGGTCGTGGACAACAAGAGGCTACAGGTCGTGGACAACAGAGAGGCTACAGGTCGTGGACAACAAGAGGCTACAGGTCGTCGACAACGAGAGCTAGGTCGTGGACAACAGAGGCTACAGGTCGTGGACAACAAGATACAGGTCGTGGACAACAAGAGGCTACAGGTCGTGGACAACAAGAGAGGCTAGGTCGTGGACAACAAAAGAGGCTACAGGTCGTGACAACAAGAGACTACAGGTCGTGGACAACAAGAGAGGCTACAGGTCGTGGACAACAAGAAGACTACAGGTCGTGGACAACAAGAGGCTACAGGTCGTGGACAACAAGAGAGGCTACAGGTCGTGGACAACAAGGAGGCTACAGGTCAGGGACAACAAGAGGGCTACAGGTCGTGGACAACAAGAAGGCTACAGGTCGTGGACAACAAGAGGCCAGGTCGTGGACAACAAGAGAGTTGATATGTATCTGGAGAAGAGGAAGGAAAGGAAGAGTTTGCTGGAGATGAGACAGGAAATTGAGATGAAGAAATATTTTAAGAAGAAACCTCGTTGGTAGTGAGTTGTGGTGGCCGGGACCTGCTGAACGGGAGGAGAGGCTGGCGAGGAGAGGAAAGGAGGAGGAGGAGGAGAGGCTGGCGAGGAGAAAGGAGGAGGAGGAGAGCTGCTGAGAGACAGAAACAGAGGAAAGGAGGAGGAGAGGAGGAGGAGGAGAGGAGGAGGAGGAGGAGGAGGAGGAGGAGAGAGGCTGGCGAGGAGAGAAGAAAAAGGGAGGAGGAAATGAGGAGAAGGAGGAGAAGGAGGAGGAGGAGCAGGGAGGAGGAGGAGAGAAGGAAGCAAGTGGTGAGAGGAAGAGGAGGAGGAGGAGAGAGAGGAGGAGGAGGAGAGGCAACGGTGGAGAGGAGCTGTCACATGAGGGACAGAGAAGGAACAGTAAGTGTGTTTGACAAACCTTACCAGACCAAGAAAAAAATTATATATATATATATATATAATATATATATATATATATATATATATATATATATATATATATATATATATATATATATATATATATATATATATACTATTTATTTACTTATTTAGTGTTATTACTACACTTTTGCAATCCAAACATATTATACAGAATTGTGTTCGCGTTTTGGCAAGAGATATTATTCAGTGACTGTCCAATTTCACGAGTGATCAAACTGGTTAGGTCTGAATCGACTGACATTCAAAAATTCTAAAACAGAATTTTTATTTGGGAATATAAAAATAATCCAACATCGTTCAAATATCCCGGATGACCCACTCAAAATCTAGTTGACCGTTAATCAAAAATACACGAAAGATATCTGTTAAACAGAAAGAAACTATTTTTTTGGTCCCACAGACAAATGTGAGACAGTAGTGAGAGTAGGAAGATGGTGCCTGTGTCAACAAGGTACTAGAAGCGTAATATAACAATGAACGGACATCTTTCTTGGCAACCCCGGGGAGTTTCCTACTCGGTATAGTCCATCAACGGAGAGCTCACAGTAAAACACGCTGTGACACAAGTTGGAATTCACAAATGAAATATGACCATACCTTTTTACTTATGTCAGTCACGGTATCAAACATTTTTATTGTGATAAATCATTGTTTTACACCATTTTAGCTTTTGCTATAGCAACACTATTTACAGAAAAACTACTGCTAAATTTGACCGCTCTCTAATTTCTTTAAAAGTGATATCTCAATATGTAAATTTCTTGAATCACGAGAACTTACAAAACTGACATATGCAGTTTGTGCGATATGTTTTCATATTAATATCGAACTTGGAATCCTGCCCAACTTGGCAGGACAAGATGTTAAACATAGAACTAACGATTGTCAAAATAGTTGTCCTTAGCCAATACAGCGCCATCTAGCAGCGACGACAACACTAGCAACACCAGCTAGTGGGGTAACAACAACACCAACTAACGGTAGGATAACACCACCGGCTAGAGGTGGGGTAAAGAAACCGATAACAACAACACCAGCTAAGGGCAGGATACACAACAACACCACACAACACCAACTAACGGTAGGATAACACCACCGGCTAGAGGTGGAGAAGAACTACAACACCAGCTAGGGCAGGATAACAACACCAACTAACGGTAGGATAACACCACCGGCTAGAGGTGGGGTAAGAACTACAACACCAGCTTAGGCAGGATAACAACAACACCAACTAAGGGCAGGATAACAACAACACCAGCTAAGGGGCAGGATAACAACAACAACACCAGTTAAGGGCAGGATAGCATCAACAACACCAACTAACGGCAGGATAACACCACCAGCTAGGGTAACAACAACACCAGCTAAGGGCAGGATAACAACAACACCACTAGCTAGGGGCAGGATAACAATAACACCAGCTAAGGGCAGGATAACAACAACACCAGCTAGGCAGGATAACAACAACACCAGCTAAGGGCAAGATAACAACAACACCAGCTAGCAGGATAACAACACCACCAGCTAGCAGGATAACAACAACACCACCAGCTAGGGGCAGGATAACAACACCAGCTAGGGCAGATAACAACACCACCAGCTAGGGGCAGGATAACAACAAACACAGCTAGGGGCAGGATAACAACACCAGCTAGGGGCAGGATAACAACACCACCACCAGCTAGGGGCAGATAACAACACCACCACCAGCTAGGAGCAGGATAACAACACCACCACCAGCTAGGGGCAGGATAACCAACACCACCAGCTAGGGCAGGATAACAACAACACCACCAGCTAGGCAGGATAAAACCACCACCAGCTAGGAGCAGGATAACAACACCACCACCAGCTAGGGAGCAGGATAACCAACACCACCAGCTAGGGGCAGGATAACAACACCACCACCAGCTAGCAGGATAACAACACCACCACCAGCTAGGGGCAGGATAACCCAACACCACCAGCTAGGGCAGGATAACAAACCACCACCAGCTAGGGGCAGGATAACAACACCACCACCAGCTAGCAGGATAACCAACACCACCAGCTAGGAGCAGGATAACAACACCACCACCAGCTAGGGGCAGGATAACAACACCACCAGCTAGGGGCAGGATAACAACACCACCAGCTAGGGCAGATAAACCAACACCACCAGCTAGGGCAGGATAACAACACCACCAGCTAGGGCAGGATAACCAACACCACCAGCTAGGGCAGGATAACACCACCACCAGCTAGGGCAGGATAACAACACCACCAGCTAGCAGGATAACAACACCACCAGCTAGGGGCAGGATAACAACACCACCAGCTAGGGCAGGATAACAAAACCACCACCAGCTAGGGGCAGGATAACAACACCACCAGCTAGGGGCAGGATAACAACACCACCAGCTAGGGGCAGGATAACCAACACCACCAGCTAGGGGCAGGATAACCAACACCACCAGCTAGGGGCAGGATAACCAACAACACCAGCTAGGGGCAGGATAACAACAACACACAGGTGGTAGCGAAATTCGTGGTACCTGAAGGCGGCTTTAAGGAAGGGCCGACCTTAGATGCTTATCAGCCACATCACACGTTCACTTATACTCGTGCGCCCGAGGGAGAGGGAGGGATCACCTTACGGGCGGCTCTTCATTCTGGGCGGCACGCACAGACGTCTTCATCTGTTTGTTTACCTCCACAGTTTATTACCGGGCAGGTCCTTTGGGAGGGAAGGAGGGAGGGAGGGACGGGTGTACAGGCATGTAAGTCATCATAACAAGGTGCTGAAGAAGGTGTATTTTTTTTCATCCGGGTGAAGTATCTGAATAGAGTTTAGTAAGTCACTACTGATATACACACGCATACAACCCTGAGGGAGTTCCAACACTATACAGCCTTGCTTGAGGTTACTTTGATGTGTGTGTGTGTGTGGGGTGTGTGTGTGTGTGGGTGGGGTGTGTGTGGGGTGTGGGTGTGTGTGGGTGGGTGGATGTGTGGGGGGGTGTGTGTGGGTGGGGTGTGTGTGTGGGTGGGTGGTGGGGTGTGTGTGTGTGTGTGTGTTATCTACTTGATGAAGATGAGGAAATATTACACCATTTCTCAGAGGATGATTGTGTGTTTGGAAATTGAATGTGTTTGTAGTGATACTTGAATATACACATTATATAAAAGGAGAGAGAGAGAGAGAGAGAGAGAGAGAACAGAAGCAGGGAAGCATGCAGAGTTAGTTAATCTCAGCCACCAGCAGATTACACCGTCCTCAGTCACCAATATTTTTACCCCATTAGTGCTACAGGTCTCCCAGTCCCAGTGTAGCAGAACCTCCCCCAGTGCTATCCGGTTCTCTGCTGTTATCGTTGCTGTAACTCGCTACCCTATGCTGTTATGTTCTACGCTGTTACACGCTGTACTGTGCTGTGTGGTTCTGGGCTGTTATCGTTGCTGTAACTCGCCGCTCTGTGCTGTGTGGTTCTGGGCTGTTATCGTTGCTGTAACTCGCCGCTCTGTGCTGTGTGGTTCTGGGCCGTTATCGTTGCTGTAACTCGCCGCTCTGTGCTGTGTGGTTCTGGGCTGTTATCGTTGCTGTAACTCGCCGCTCTGTGCTGTGTGGTTCTGGGCTGTTATCGTTGCTGTAACTCGCCGCTCTGTGCTGTGTGGTTCTGAGCTGTTATCGTTGCTGTAACTCGCCGCTCTGTGCTGTGTGGTTCTGGGCTGTTATCGTTGCTGTAACTCGCCGCTCTGTGCTGTGGTTCTGGGCTGTTATCGTTGCTGTAACTGCCGCTCTGTGCTGTGGTTCTGGGCTGTTATCGTTGCTGTAACTCGCCGCCTGTGCTGTGTGGTTCTGAGCTGTTATCGTTGCTGTAACTCGCCGCTCTGTGCTGTGTGGTTCTGGGCTGTTATCGTTGCTGTAACTCGCCGCTCTGTGCTGTGTGGTTCTGGGCTGTTATCGTTGCTGTAACTCGCCGCTCTGTGCTGTGTGGTTCTGAGCTGTTATCTCTGCTGTTACACGCTTGACTTGGCATGTGAAGTCCTACGCCTTTAAATGCTGCCCTGTTTTGTGTGTGTGTGTGTGTGTGTGTGTGTGTGTGTGTGTGTTTGTGTAGGGTGTGTGTTTGTGTAGGGCAT